TTTTAAAAAAAATTATTCTTATTAATACGAGGTAACGCCCAACGAACGTACAATAAGATGCAATGCACGTACTTTGCATCTATTGATACTATATTAAAAGCATGAATCTCCTTAGCAAAATTTTATTCGCATTTTTTATTCTTTAAAACAACTTTCATATTAGAAAAAAGCTATAATTTGATTAATCCTCTATTATTTAAAAATTTAATTATTATTTTAACTATATAGAACTCCTAATATATATAACTATACATCACCAACAAATTTTCTTTCGCATATTTCACATAAAACTTTACTCTCCAGAATATTCTTATTACATATATATATTTTTATCTAACATTAAATGTACATACAATATTTTACTCCTATGATTAATAATTTAGTAATTTACATGTATTTTTTTCCACAATAATATACATGCATACTTACTTTTAATATTCTTTATTTGTATCTACTTTAATGTCCATTATAATTTTACATAACTTGTTCTTTTACAGAAATTTTAATTAATTGACACGATAAATACGTGCAACGCACGTACCCTAAAGCTAGTTTTAGAAAAAAGAACAAACAAAGTGTAAAGATTTCCATTTGGTCCCTCACAGCTTGTTTGGATGATTGTTACCCATTATATCGTATCGTATTGTTACTTTAAATACAATGTTTGTTTTGATTGTTACTTAAATTTTATTGTGTAGTATCGTTATATCCGTCTTTACATAACGACGAAATGTGTCACTTTATATAACGACCAATTTGGTGTGATCGCGTCGTTACCTTATCTTTTTCTCTCAATCTCACCCTCTATTATTATTAAATTATTTTATTTTATCATTTATCATACCTTTTTATATAGTAATTTTACGTTGTATTATAATTTTTCTTTATAATATTGTAAGTTTATTCTTCATATTGGTGGTGCGTGATATCATGAAACTATAGTAAATGACACAATCTATCTAAATATTATATTTATGAAACAATACAATACCATAAAGATGATGAAACAATACAATACCATAAAGTGTGTAACAACCATCCAAACAAGCTGTCACGCGAAGGGCACATGGAATGACTGACTCCTCCTCCTACTTACGATTATTCCTGGTAAGTATGAGTAGTTAATAGTAACATCCAGAAAGTTTTCTCTTCTTCCCCCAAACTTGTACTGCTTGATTACATTCACTGTAAACTCACCTCATGCATTAAACCCTATTTTTCTCCATCCATCTTTGAGTCCATTTTTCGCTGGCGACGAATTGGAAAAACTGAATCAAATCTCAGCTATTAATGGCGGTTTCGGAGGAAGAATCCTCGTCTTCATCCTCTGCCGGTTGCAGCAGCAAGTCACGATCAGCTGCTCCTCGTGGCGCCTCTTATTTAGCTAAGACTGTTCTCAGAGGTAGTGTTGTTCTGCAAGTCGTTTATGGCCGTATCCGCTCTTCTACTTCGTACGACGTCGTTCTTGGCAAGGTAGCTCATTTTTTTAAACTTCATTTGCAGATTAGTTGTGTTAAATGTTAATTTCAATGTGTGATCATCTGCTTTGAAATTATTGGAATGAAATTGGCCAGGGCAGAGCAAAATTGATATAAAAAAAGACATATGGCTGACTCCAGTTGCTTTTCTTACGGGATTGCTTAATGTAGATAAGGACTATCAATCCTTTAGATTTAAAGTTTCTAAATATAATTCGAATGAATACTTATATATCTGAAAGTATTTTGTAATGGAATAAGGATGATTATTTCAAAGAGGAGGTTAGGCTTCCACTTCCCCTCCTATATATATTTATCTTTTGGATATTAATATACTCGTAAGGCGCAGGCTAACCTCCCGTCTTTAAGGATGTATTAACTTAAAGAAAAAAATGATTACTATGTGATTGGGGGCATAGTTGATTGATTTAATTTTATTTGAAATTAGATTAAAATCGTGAAACGTAAGCTTGTAAAATAGCTAGACCAAATTTAATTAATGGAGTCTTCTAGTGACATTATGAAATTGAACCCATATGGCAGAAAGCATAAGCATTGGGTACGTATGTTGTGCTCAGATTCTACCGATCGATGCATAGCCCAATTTTTCTTTTATATGCACGTGTAACTATTTGGGCTGCCAGGTGCTCTTTCTGTAGTCTC